TTCTTCTGGAAAATAACTTAATGAATGAATTTTACTAAATGCTTTTATTTTATCTAATCGAGGATCAGCATTGATTTCAAAAAAAACTTGTTCAATATCATCGATGGTATTATCATTAGAAGAATAAAGAAATGATCGAGCTTGTGCATAATTAAGACTCGTAGAAAAAAATGAATTTATTGATATAAATTCTCCAATAGAACTCTTTAATATCTGAATTTCATCTTTTGACATTTGTTGTGCTCGATAAACTCGTATTGGTACTGAACATTTATTAGTTTCTAGCTGACGACCAATATCAACAATAATAAATCTTAATAAAAATAATAACTCAATATTTTGTACTCGTAATGCTTTATTTAATAATCGATAAAGAAAACAATCACGTGTATACCACCATATAGCTTGATTTGATGAATAGTTTTTAGTAAATTCTTCGATAAGATTTAATTCATTCGAATTATCTTTATAATATTGTTTACAAAAATTAACAAATTCTTCTTTATCATTGCTTGTTATTTTCATTCGAATAAGACAATCAATTAATAAATGAAAATGAATAAATTGGCCATTTGAACCAAGTGTTGATTGTCCTTCTTTATGATTATTTGATTTAAAAATATTGATAGTTAAATATTCATCAATCCTCGGATATTTTCTACGTTGCATTTGATCAGATTGTATTCGATGAATAAGGTCGTTTAGTGTAATCATGACACCTTTTACTTTAGGATAATAAGAAGCCCATTGTTCATTGATTTCTTTATTTCTACAGTACACATAGATTGATATGATTTGTCGAAGAGGAGAAACTTGAGGAACAAGTGTTTGACCTAATTGACCACTAACAATTAATATAACACGATCATCGTAGGATAGATTATCAATATATTGAAGACATAATTCATCATCTTCAAATGTTAATAAATGATTAATTGATGTACGAAGAATTTGTTGAGCTTGAATATTTTCGTGTGATTTATTTACTGAACTATCAAGCCAAATTAAATAATATGTTTCTAAATTGTCATGTTGTATTGAAATTGTACTCATCTTATTCACCTACGAATAACGAACGCGTTAGGAAGCATATAATCACGTGCTATAGTAAAGAATGAGTAAGAATATATGCTTGTTCGATGACTCCTTGTTGTATTTTACCAATAAAAGTGAGTTCGTTTGTAAAGGAAGAAAAAAATGTTTTTTCGTAAGAGAAGATTTTGTCCGATAAGGTTACATGGAAATTTCATTTCTACCGTTTATTTGATACAGGGAAAGAAAATAAATATTTTTATTATTAATATTTGTGACACACTTCCAAAAAGGTATTTTTTAATGGTTGGAGAAAACCATACTGTTTGATTTCGCAAGTGCAAAGTCTATGACTGCAAAGGTGTGTAAATAATTCATAGAAATATAGTATATGCATTTTCATTTTGAAAATGTGTTGAAAGTAAAAAGGAATTTTTATTTCGTCGAAACAATAAATTGGGATGAAAATAAGTAAAAGACTATTATATAACTATATTCCATATTATCAAAGTATAAGAATGACTCATATAATTAAAGAGATATAACCCAATTAAATACATTACACCCTACTAGCTCGGTACTATTTCAATTGTTAGAAAAGTTATGACAGTTTCTCTTCGTGTAAGAGAAGATTCAATAATTCCTCGGGTTTACTTACAAGGTAAGTATATCACTTAAAAGTTTTTGTCGCAGTTATAAAATCATCGAATTTACAACTCTCTTTGTATATGATAAAATAATTATAAAAACAATTGAACATCATTATTTAAACGTTAAAAAAACAGAAACATGTTGTGAAATTTTGTTAGCATATAACTATCATTTTATTTTAAAAGCATTAGTAATAATTATGAGAACTACAATTAAATAAATAAAACTCATTGCTCTTAATGTATTACTATCATTACATAAATCTGTATGACAACAAAATTGATTCGTATCAGTTAGATTGCATGATTGTGTTACATCTCGATGTGAACCATAAATAGTATGTTCTATCTATATGGAATTTTATATAAATGAAAAACAAAACATTAAATCTATTTACCGTACAACTGTAATTTCCATTATTAGGAAAGGTAAGTATTGGTATATTAGATGAATCAAACGGATCATTACAGAATGCACAACCATAACATTGAAGATTAATGCTAATTTGAATCAAAGCTATTTAAATAGAAAATTTCCTATGACATTACATTGATTTGTAGAACCTACCAAAGAAAATAATATAAGTCAGCATGGTTCAAGTTATATGTTCAATATTGATGATTATATGAAGTATGAATATTTCTTTCAATTGAAAGAGAAAGTAAATGTATGTATGGTAATGATATAAGAATATGAACATTTCCTATATTGAAAAGAATCCATCAACCTTGTTTTTTTCTATAATAGCTTATATATATATATATACATTATTTTATTCGTTTAGGTATAGAAAAAAAAGTCTTAATCAATGATCAGTAAAATCCATATGAACTAACATATGAAACTATTTGTACTCCGAGTTTTAAAGAATTTTAAAAACTTCAGGATTGACCTACTTCAACTGCTGTTCAAATAATTTTTTCGATTTAAATACTCCTTTTCGAATAGTATATGCCACAGACAGTGATCTGTTGAACAAAGCTATTCGGGAGAGTTTTGTGTATCAAAAGACGTCATTTTTAGAAAAAATGCCGAAAGGACCTATAGTTTCAAATATCACTTTGGGAAATAATACTAAAATTTTCAACTAGATTAGAAGATATTCTCCTTACAGTTCTTAATATGTTGTTATCTTTTTGCTAAAAATGTATCTGTAAGACTTTTTAAAAGTTGTACAGACATTAATGAATATTGTAAAGACAATCGAAGTTTGTTCAATATCTATACGATTATATAATCAGATTTCAAAAAAAAAGTTTATTTGATTGAACATCTAAGAACATCCTAAAACCATTACTAAAGTATTCAAAGTTAGCAATGTGATTATAACAATGATAAAAAGATTAAATATTTATACTTTGTCAAAATATAATAGCAACCTATAATTGCTTTATTCGACTCAAGTATAAAAGTAATATAATCTAGGCACTTTAATAAAATCGATTTATAAATAGATAAACTCTTCTATTAATCTTTCATAATAAAGCTGGTTATTTATCGTAAGACTTCCAATGACGATTAACAAAATTTACTTTTCAGGTGGAATGTGAATATATATATATATTGAAAATCACTATCATGTGTTTTTTTACAGTGCTTTTCGAGATTAGAGAATGGATTTAATCTTCAAATTTCTTATCAAAATTAATCCGATTATTTATTTTCCTGATACTGACAAAATTTGACTTCTTTGCTCGTATCGATATATTATTGTTATTTTTTATTCGATGAAATCAAAGTATGATATATATCTAACATAAAACTTCAAAGAAAAACATGAAGAGAAAAAAAACGCGTTTTTATGTCTTTTTAATTCTTTAATAATAAGAACAAAAAGTTAATATCTATTCAATGAACGAATACAAGGAATATAAGATTTATATAAATTTTCACGGTTGAAAATTACTTGAAGCAATTGGATGAGCAGGTTCATCATAATCACTAGTAGTTAATATTGTATTTTGTCTATCATTCATATTTATATAACGATTACTATGACTATAATGATCCATACGACGATTCATCATTGTTCTTGGCTGTTGATTATAACCATAATAATTTTCATCAAATGATTGACTATCATCATCATCATCGCCATCTTCTAATCCTGAATAATTTTCTTCTTCAACATCATTATTTTCACTTTGATTTTCTCCACCATTAATAAACGCATTTTGCCCAACTCGTCTTGGATGTGCACTTGCTGGTGGTGATGGAGCTGAAGGACGTTTTATCGGTGATACAACACGATCACCTGGTGATGTATATGTTGCTGCTCTATGTACTATAGTTGTATTACATTGAGGTAAATCTTCATCAAGATCCATAACATTCGACATTGTTGGAAGAACATGACGTTTATTAAGTGCTGGTAAATGTTGTCTTTGTGTTGGTGCAAAATGATAGAACATTTGTTTTTTTGGTTGATTTGTTGTTTTTGGTGTGATTAAAACTGCTTCTGTACGAAAAAAAGTATTATTTATTGAAGTTGTATTTGGAACAGTGATATCAGGTAATGGTGGATATTTTTTAACTGGAACATGATCAGATGATGATGATGTTGATGATGAATTATTTGGTATAATAAATGATTGTTCACGTATTATTTCACGAAAATCATCAATTGTTGAACGTGGTGTGCTATTATTACTACTAGACATATTCACCATTGGATGATTATCTAGAACAAGAAAATGATAAAACTAATTATTAATATCTTAAAATTTTCTTATTAGTGACGAGAAAAAAAACAATTAATGGTTTCCAATAACAATATAAATAACAAAAGTAAAAACCGTTTTTTCTACATGTAATGTAATTATTGACAGAGAAAAAAAACTCGTCATGTCATGTTTTTATTATTCTAGATAATAATTATTCATTTATATACAAAAAATAACGAGAATCTTTATATTATAGAACAACAAAGAAAAATTTTTATTAGACAAAAAATTATTTCCCTTTTGAAGATAAAATATATATGCTTTTCTTTTACATTATATTCTAAGAACACTTACAACTTGTCGTTGATTATTTATAAAGAACAGAGGAAATTATTATTTTTTTATATGATTATGAGTTGTTAATGTATCATAATGATATATGTAAGTAAATATCAAATGGCAATGATGAGCGACTGAAGGACAGAATTTTTTTTGCAATGTTATTACTATTAGTTAGCAAATAGCAACCACAGAATGAATTTAGCATTACTTAGGTTTCATTTTATTATGTGCTCATATTGAATCGTATCCTTACCTTGAATTATTTCAAATTTAAAACAATACATACATATGTTTTTAATTCACACACATACATACACAAATTCATATAATCTACCTATTGAAAATGTGCATGAAATCATGTGAGAAATAAAATGCGAGTAGATGTCAAGAGTATCTTGTGCAGACGCAATGCACAACCATCTATCGGTAGTCAAACAAAAGAAAAGAACAAAATGATGCTGTAAATAAAAATTCTTTCTTTTTCTTCTCTCCTGGCCTCTCCTCTCCTCTCCTCTCCAGTTTACATGTTATGCTTTTTTTTAATAACTACACTATTGAAAGTAAAAGAAAAAAAAGTGGTGAAAGAAAATTGCGTATTAAAATAACAATAATAACATTGATGATAATGAACAGAAGAGAAAAAAGATAGTAAAATATCCTTGAATAGATATTTTATTCTCCTTTCATCAATTATAACGAAGTTTTATATGTTCATGTTCTATACATCAATAAAAAATAATATAAAATAGTTTCTCTTCATAAGAAAAAAAATTTGAATCATATTTGTCGTTCAGAGTAATAAGAAAATTCAGGTTTGTTTTTTCTTTATCGACTGTTAAATAAATATTATTTCATAAACAATATTCCAGACATTTACTATATGAAAAATTGAACAAGAATTGAGTTTTTTTTTGTCATAGAGAATTATGATAAGACAAATAATGTGTACTATTTACAATTTATAAACAATAAAGCACAAATCATTGTATTACTATTTAATTATCTGAGTCAGTTATGATACAAGACTACTAAATATCATGTCATTTAATCATGAATGTTTTCAAACTATTCAGACATAATTCCTTGTCGACAAAGAATAAGTATCTATGATTATATTATACAATCTACTTCTCTCTATATATAGAATTATGAAATGCATCCTACGTATTTTTTTATATAGAGACAAACACTTATAATTATGATAAAAAGAAAATTCCATGATTATGCTGAATAGTTTATATTTTTAGAATAGCGAATTTTACTATTTATAAGAAAGAATATTATAATATCTATTTAATGTGAAAAATAAAACTATAATTTTCTATTCAAATTATAAATAATATATATCAATGCGGTCATTATGATCTTTTTTATTAGAAATATATTTTTGAGCAATGATACAAAAACATTATTCATTACGTTTTTCATACGTACAACCTTCTACTGATAAAAATTTCTAGAGATTCTCATAAGTTGAATTGATATGTGATCAATACAAATAATACCTTTATTGTCCTTATATATTGAGGTTGATAATGTAAAAGAAAAGAATAGTAAGAAACCAGATGGACATAAACTATGTTAATTAGCGACATCTTATGCAATCTAGCGTGTATAGAGGAAACTTATGGCCGTATGAGAGGATGAAGAGAGTACAATCAATGATAATGTTGCCAAAAAATAATTTATCAAAATATATATACATCTGCATGTATTCGAAATGATGTAATACACGGCATTCCATTTATTGAAATGTGAGTGCATTTCTAAGGTATACATATATATATGAAGGAACGCACGAGAAATGAAACATATTTAATCCTAGTATTAACAGCGTGGGTCATTTTTTCTCATTCTGTAGAGAGCATAGATAGGAATGACAAAAGGCTGATCGTATGAGGTTAAAGTACCCATCATATTGCCGAGAGTGTTTGTTTATTAATTCAATTTTCGAGTGTTTTGTTCTTTTAAATAGTTGATTGAGAAATTTATTATTCTTACGTCTACCTATGCTATAGTGCGAAGTCTTTTGAGATGTTTTTGCATTAAGATAAGTGTCAATGGATAATTGATATTGATGAGCGTCTGTGAAATTATCAAGATGTTTAGTTAACGTATATACTGTTTAATCATTCCATAAGTTAGACGAAGTCCTATACAGTAAGTATGTTCGATTAGTTTTTGTTGTATTTCAGTATAGAAAAACTAACATGATTTTTCCTATGACTAATTGACTTTAGAAAGCACTTATGACTCATCATACTTTTGTAGCACGAACTCGAAAAGGCATATGAGTCTATTAATAACTACATTGATGAGATTTCTCTTTCGTTTTTTTTATTCTGTTATTTGAAAAAAGAAAAACATTTTTTTCTTTTGTCAAATTCAACAAAATAATTGTTATATGTTCTTTATTAAGTAAACTACATTTATTTTCTTGTCTTTTTAAAATCAACAACCAAAAAAAAGAAATACAGTCTGTCTTTTGCTTGAAGTCAAAATTAAACGAAATCTATTTTTAATTATTTCATTTAGATAAAATGGTTAACGTTCTCATACAAAAGTATTTGCCATTTGTTAATTTTCTCATTGCATCCGTTGCACTGGGATTTCAAGTAACAGTTCTATATCCATGGCATTATGAACTTCAACACGAATTTAATGAATTACAAAAACAACAAGACGCAAAATTACGTCAATATCATGAATTAAAAATGCAAACAATTAAAAATATCGAAGATAATTTAACAAAACTCAATAGAGAACGAAAAACTGACAATACTAAAAAAGAATGATTGAAAGTTTTATTGTACTTTCTTTTTTTTTTCTTTTTTTTAAAATTCAGAATAGTTGTGTGAGGCTTCATTAATGTATTTTTATAAAGTTTCATTTAGGATAATGTCTCAATAAACTTAAAATAAACCCGCTGAGAATCAGGCCATCTTTTTTTCAATTTACAACATCAAAACACTCATGCTACATTATATAATAAAATTTTGTTCATATATGAATAATTTTTAATCAGATAATTCGGTTATTTTTTATTGTTTCTGTTTAGATTGATCATAGTTTCTATCGCCGACAGTTAGTTAGTTTATTTGTTCATTCAGTATACTACAATGGAATAACAATTGTTCAAAGATCAGTTTCTTGTATACCATTATTGTAGTTCAATCTAATCGATTTGTTCTGATAAAGTGACCATGATGATCTAAATAATTAGAAATCGAAATATTAGGAATAAGATAGATAAATTATACATTACTGTTGTTTTATTATTGAAGTAGTATGACGTGACATTATTAAATTATTCAGAGTGATTATCATATTCTTCTTATCTCGTGCTTTCGATAAATGACAATAAATATCTTTAATAATCCAAGAAATAGATGTAACAAGAAAAGGTGTTATAAAGATTTTACCTGTGATAATTGACGTATGAAATTGACTAAAGAGTAGAAAGCACCTTTGAATTGAAAGATCAATTTCCATGGTTATATGAGGTGGAAATATTGTAACTGAAAGATAAAAATTGTTTATTATGAAGAATAAAGAAAAATGAAGTTTTACAATAAAGATTGATTCGATGTAATGTTTCGATCATATTTGAATAAAATAATGGAACAGATTTCAAATGATGCATCAATTTTATTAAAAGTGTTTTTGATAATACAATTTGATCTATTTTTGCAATTCTTGCAGCAATATGCCAACTTTAAATAAAAAATAAAGTATAGAAAGAGATACTTCGTTTGTATTTACTCTGTTAAATCGGCATCATTTGAATAAATACATTTGTAGAAATCGATATCAAGCAATGGTATTTGTCGTATGATATGTAATTGTTGTTCATCTATAAAACAACTGATATAGTATATTCTTAGATAAATATTCCTGAAAAATACCTGATTGTGCATATGTAATTCGTAGATCATGTAATTGTAATTTATATTTAGTATAAAATCGAAATCGTTGTATTTCTTCCTTGATAATGATAAATTATTAGAGTAAAAATCGAGAAAATTTTAATTTCATCTAATAAAACATACCTGAGATAGTAAAGTATTATCACCTAAACATGATTTTAATATTAAACTATTAAAATCGATGTGAACTATGGAAGAACACCTTTAAAAAAAGACATTTCTATATTATACTATTATAAAAATATATCCTTACATATAGGATACACCATTTTGCGGTAAAACTAGTGAAATTCCTTTTAATTGAATTGTCATATCGAAAACTTTTTCTTGAGAAAGATCGTGTTCCATTTCTTCATTTGTTCTTCGTTTAATTCTATTCAATAAAATACCCGTGATATTCAAAAAATGATTCTATTAAACAAACTGTGATAGTGTAGACGAATGATTGTCATCATTTGGATTAAAACATTCAACAATTTGATTAATTGTTGGCTACAATATGCAGAGAAATACAGTCACTACCAATATTTTAAATTCGATGTATGACTTACAGCGTCGTAAGTAATTTTCAAAGGTTCAATAACTAAATACAGACGATAATCGGATTTTTTATCCATTGGAGAGAATTCCAATTCGCTATGAATTAATGGAAGAAATGATTTGAAATTTTCTGTTACTAATAAAGGTCGTGCTTGTTGTTTATCAGTTTGCATACCAAATAAAGAAAATGATTGTATATCAATTATAAATCTAAACAATCGTAAAGCAAATATATAATGAGCGAAAAAAAAATTTATTAAAATAATAGTACGAAATATTTGATGAGATAGCTCGTCGTTTGAAACCGATACGTGCATCAGTTATTTTAATTGGACAAAGAATATCATTATCTGTTAATTGAGATTGATTATTTGTTTGTGGTAATGATAAATTCAAGACTAGATTATTAACTTTAACTTTAATGTCGATGTTTGGTGACTATATAATAAAATAATTGATTTCAATAATTATAATCATAAATAACTTACATCTTCGATAGAAAAGTCTTCATGAGTTGTAATTGACTCAGATGTTGATGATTTTCGACGTTCACCTTCTTTTGAATGACTTTTTGTTTTCCACCAAGAATGCCACCATTTATGATGATGATTATTATTATTGGTAGTATTTGTTGGCGTTACTATTCGATTTGTTTTTAACCGGTGATGATGATGTCGATTATGGTTAGTTATTAAAGTCGGATTTGTTTCTATTTCAATATTATGATAAATATAAGCTAGATTGAATACATCCAATTTCGATTCTAAATACTTTTAGATCAAATACTAATATTATAAAATTATGATCAAGAAAATTATTACTCGTATACGTTCTTTTTGTTCGATTGTTAATATATTGACATCTAGTACTTCTTGTGTTTTTAATTCACGATATTCCTGACATCGATCTATTTAAAAAATAAATTATAAATTTTGTTAAGAATTATTGTGTACCGTAAAGTTTAGTATAATTTTGAAATTTAATAAAGTCAAGTAAATCAGAAAATTGTTTTGGATCAATAGTAAGATTTAAATGTTCAATTTGAATATCAATATCATATGCTGGGCGTTCGAAATTAAAATCTCCTGGTTGTAATATCATGAGTAAATCAATAGTAAGATTTACTGGATGGAGAACTACAAGAAATAAATCAAAATACAAAGTAAGAATTAGAAGAAAAAGTTATAGATATACAAACTGTAATTCATCTCATCGGTCTTTGTTTCATGAATATTTGTGGTGATTTTCGATTTTAAGTCTTTCTGAAATACGTAAGAGAACAGTGAAAAAGCATTCAGTCAGAGAACTTGAGTAATTTGTATAATCAGAAAAATTTTTCAATGTCAAACTTATAGAATTTTATTATAAGGTAGTAATTAAGTCATTACTGAAATGTATTCAGTAATCGTCACACATGGTAACTATAGAAGTTTTATTCAAGTGGTTAATTATTTTCTATAGGAAACTCAAAGGAGAAAAGCGAAACTTCAAGTGTGGTTATTCCACTTGCTATATGAAGCATTACAAACTGGTTTTCATAGGATAACACTCGCCAATGTCAGATCATTCAAAACCTTGCTTGTTTCTCCGTAAGAAAACTAACTATCTTTAACCCATGACATCAATATTTGTTTATTCTCGATCTATGTCTTCTTGAATATGTAGATATACATTTTATTACTAACCACAACATCATCAAATGGCATGTCAATTCTTGATTTACATTCTGTATTCCAATAAAGTGAAAGTGCATGCATTTCTTTCATCTAAAATAATTTCTATAATAAAAGAACAAATTAAAATACTAAACAATTTACTTTGAAAACAATAGCTGAATTTTCTTTTATTTTTCCAATTAATCTATTATTTGTTGTTGTCTAAATAATTAAAAGTTTTACAAGACTTTATTTTTATCTTTATAAAAAAATCTTACAATCATTTCAAGATGATGAATAGTAAGTCCAAATGAAAATGGATGTCCTAATTTAGTTGTTGATATCGTTTCATAACTAATATGTAAATTATGTATTGTTATTTCAAGATTTTGCATGATTTGTAATCTCATTCGTTCCATAAATGTTGTCTCTTTTTCATCTAGTTTTTTATTATCTTCAATAGATTATTTATAAAAATAAAAAGAATCTTTTTTTCGTTAGTAAATACATACTTGATATTGCTTTTCTTAAATTATCAACTTTTCGTTGAACACGTTGCATTTTATCATCATAATATTCTGTAAAATCTCGACGAACTTCTACAAATATAAACAACAGCTTAGAAATTTTGTCTGAAAGAATCGAATGCGTTAAATTGGTATTTACCAAATAAATATATTATTCATGGCTTTTTTTATCTTCAGCACTATTCAATCTTTCAAGATATTCTCAGTTGGTTTTTCAACACAAGGAAAATAATTAAATAGGACTTAAAATCAGCTTAGAAAATGTTTTATCGATAGAAGAAAAAATAGGATTTTTACCATTTTTTGGCACAATTAACATATAAAGTCCATCGATAAAAACTTTTGTTGGATTATTGTATAGGTTTGTCCATGAAATAGTTAATATTAATTTTTCTACAAATAAAAATATCGTCGTTAGATTATACAGTATAATTAAATTTATACCAAGATAACCGACAGCAACAGTTACAGGAAGACTAAGATCAACCTAAAATATCCTAATTGTAAAATCTCAAAATTTTTTTTCATAAATAAATTTACCAATGCTTCCGGTTTTAAATGAAGTTTTTCTAAACAGACATGACCTGGGCGAAAGAAATTTTAAAAAAAATTATTTAATAAATATTACCATTTTTTAGATCAAGTTTAAGTTTTTCATAATCCAATTGTTCAATATAGTCTTTTAAATATTTGTTGATAATATATCGAACAAGATTTTTTAAGACCATTTTATTATAAAACTATACGTCAAAACATTTCTTTTCTTTTTTTTTGTTTGTGGCACTAAATATATATATATATGATTGCCGATGTAAATGAGTGGAGAATGAAAAAAAACTTAATATCAGTAATGCTTTATTTCAGTACCTCTTTTTTCTCTTTCATTCTCTCTTACAGTGAATACTATTTCTTTCTTTTTTTTTGTAAAGCTAACAAATGATAAAGTAAAATAAAGAAAAGCAAATTGTAGAGGCAATAGAATTTAATTTAAACAAATGGCAATAAAAAAATTACCTGTAAAATATTTTGCATAATCAAACGAATGCTAATAAAGAAGATTCGTGGAAAGCATAGTTTTTTTTCTTATGTTTCAACTTGGATTTTTCACCTTGACACATAAGTGTATTTCAGGTGAATGTGAGAAGTACTCCAGCAATACGTATGTATGAGTCATCATTACATTCACAGAATTAGATTTCTAAAAGATTCAGACGAAATAACAAGTTTCATATGCTTAGAAATTGTGAAAAACTATTAACTCAAGACTTGTTAATAGGATATGTTTAATATAAAACGGAGAAAGATTTTCATAAGTATATATTTCGTAAACAACTGTGTTCAATAGAAATTCGAAATTATTCCACTCAAGAAGAACTAATAAATCATATATAGTTTTAATACTTCCACTTTAATAAAACGACTTCCAATTTCGAAAAATATTACCAACAAAAAATAAGGATGTATGACTAGTATTTTTTTTCCTGTGTGGAAATGAGACATGGACTTAGAAATAGTTTGAAAAAATACGATAAACAATGAAGATAAAATTCGAAATTTTTTTTATTATTATAACATGATCTACTTGAAAAAAAAGAAACTCGTGGATATATATGTAAATTTCACACTGTCATGTATTATTGTTTCGTTCTGTTATTTTGGAAAGAAAAACATGAGTCATAAATATTATCGTAAAAAGGACGATTTTTGATGTCTACAAGGATTTTTCTTGCTAACGATTTTTTTTCCCAGTTTCAGTTTATATAAAATAGTGTCAATCCGGTAGTATTTTCATTAATCAAACTATTCTACAATCAAATAAACAATAGCCATTATAATCATATAAATGTGTGGTCATACAGATCAATCAGTACGTGAACGTTGTTCTGCTATTATCAAACGAGTTAGAACCCAAACGGAAACTTGTGATGAATTATCATTAGAGAAAAAAGAAGCTATTATTCAACCATCAAAACGCCGATTTTCATTTAAAGAAATTGATTCTATAAAAACAGCTCGTACGAAAAGTTTTATTAACTGGCCTCATTCTACTCCTAGCCGTGAGTCAATGGCATCGAACGGATGGTTTTCTTGCAATATAAATGATCGAGTTATTTGTATATATTGTAATACTATTTGTCAACGTTGGACATCTAATGATGATCCACAAGAAGTTCATCAAAGACTTGCACCTCAATGTGCATTTGTTCTATCATTATCATTATCATCAAAACCTAAACCTTTAGTAATGGATCAAAATGTTGGTGAACCCTTTAAACCACATCATGCATCTATGTGCGAGATATCTCGTCGATTACAAACATTTAATAATCCTTCTTGGACACAAAGTTCTCCAACTGCTGATGATTTAGCGCAAGCAGGATTCTTTTATTCTGGCAGTGAAAATACAGTAACTTGTTTTTATTGTAATGGATCATTACATAAATGGAGTGCAAAAGATAGTCCAAAAATAGAACATTGCCGATGGTTTCCCAATTGTATATATGCTAGACATTTCTGTGGAGATCCTCTTTATTTTCGAATTCAAATGAAAAAAAGTCAACTTACAAAAAAGAATGATGAGATTGATCAAAATACTCTTGTTCGTCTTGTTAATGCAAGACTTGATCTACCTAGAGTACAACAACTTCGTACACAATATGATTTGACAATTATTCGACGAGTTTTGGAAGATCAATTAAAAAATAATCATAATGATTCTGAATCAGATAACGATCTAGCGATGTCTTGTTTTATTCTTAAAAAACAAATTGATACTTTGCAGGGTAATCCAGAGAGAATAATAATTCCTTCAAAAAATCAAATGTCAATGAGTACGTCTAATGCTTCAAGTAGAAAATCTGATGAATGTCTAATATGTCTTACGGAAGAAAGACAAATTGCTTGTATGCCTTGTGGACATTTCTGTGCTTGTGTATCATGTGGATATAGTCTTCGTTCATGTCCGGTATGCCGAGAAAATATTCAGTCATTTGTTCGCATTTATTGTTAAATTTTATTTCTTTTTTATATCGAATGATTTAGTTGTTTTTGTAAATGAATATGTTAATAAAATTATTAGATAAAATTAAAAGAAAATACTGGATTTTATGTAAATGTTTAGAATTAAAATCAGAGAAAAATTAACGTATATTAATGATTTGGCATGCTTCGAAGAGAGGTACTTGTATTTTATATATCAGATGAACTACTTCAAATATGTTTAGGAGCTATTTAATCGTTCCTATTCGATGAATTTCATTTTCAGCGAAAGTAGACTAAATCCTCAGAAATCTATTAAAATCTCGATATTTTATGAAAACTTATCAAAGTTCATGTATTTGTATATGTTTGAAGTCCTCTTTATTCGATATATCTGTTATGTATTTTTCTTCTTGTTCTTTTCGATGTAGAAAACAAAATAAACTTGATTTGAATTCTGTATATAAACTAAATAAATTCATGAGGTGGCAAATATCAAATTGATACAAATTTTCAAGTCCACACGTCAAAATTTTTTGAAAATTTCAATTCTTGAACATTTTGAAAATTCTTTATAATATTGAGGAATATTTGTATCATCTATATGGTAACCTCATTGGTAAGCAGAGGAGCAGAAATTTAGGTATTTATGAAAAATTTCGAAAATTGTTTCCTGGTCTTCATAGAAACTTCTATCATTTATACAATGACATCAACGAACAAGAGAAAAGCAAAAATCATAAAGGAGAAGGATTTGTTCATCAATACAATGATGACTTTCTTTTATCAATTAATATCTTTCTATTGACAAAATCATACTTCTTCTTTCTGACTTTTACATTCCTACTATCCAATGAAGTCATTGTATAAATGATAAAAGCATTTCCATAGAGTAGAGAACAATTTTGAGATTTACACCTCGAAAAGTAAACTTCTGATTTCTACTTGTCTTCTAACTAATCAGGTCACCGTATAGATAATACAAATATCCCGCAATATTATGAAGAATTTTCAAGTATAAAGAGTAATCTTCTAATTTGTAGTTTGTTATAAATTTTAGATTTGATGAGAGGAATATAGATCAGGTTTGTTTATGTAAGAATCTTGATAACTTAGTAGGAAGTCAATTACGATACAAATTTTCTGTTATTTTTAAATAAGATGGAATTGACGAATGTGTTGAAATCACCGTACACGGTTGTGTTAAATAGTGACATCGAGGAGTAGATTTCTGAGTAACGTATAGTGAAGCAGTGTCGTAAAATTCTGATAAAAATCAGAAATCAGAAGTTGAAGTTTATTCAAAATCGGTTTTACTGTGAGATTTGCCACGCCCGCTTATATTCTTGTTTATTATGAAAGAGAATAATAGTTTACTTTTTATTCAATACTTAATACATAGTAAGAGAGAATAGACTTCATTTTATTGTATCACATATAAATCATAGATAAAATTGAAAAATACATATGAATAAAAGATACGTTATTCCTCCATCAAGAATTTACAGTAAGAATAAATAAAATATGCTTTCATATATATACAGACTTAATATAACTAATAACTTTTAAAATCATACAATCTGCTCTAATCTTTAGTCGTTATTTATGGATTAATATATCATATAATTCAAGAAAATCAAAATTGAATTGAGAAACCTTGTAATCATACATTATACTTGTTTTTTGTTTTAATCCTTTTGTTTATATCTAAATTGTCAGTATTTTTCGTTGTATTGATGATGACTTAGTCATCACGAAAGCAAGTTGTCGAAAATTATCATATTTATACTAAGGACGAAAAAAGGTAAACAGAAAAACATATCATACGTGTAAATGAGTATATCGAATTTCATGATAAATATATTATTTGATTAATTTGATGCTGATTTGCATTAAACAATTTCTATAAATTGACTCTCGATAATTGTCATGCATCGTTCTTTCAGAAAAGTACTTCAGGAAGTGAATTTGTTTTCGACTTACTTCCGAGCTTCTCTTCAAGTTGGAAATGAATCATATTTATGTATGATATTTGTCATACAAAAAAACGAAGCTACAAATTTGACTAGACGAAACTGCGTTTTTATGAGAGAAAAAGGTGTACTACATTAAGAAAATATTTTAATTATATTATAGATTTAATTTCCTATTTCTAATCCATTATTACTGTGCAAGGTTGATCAGTATATTACAACAAATAGAAATACGCCCATAATTTAATAACAGATCGAAAATGAGTATTTTTTTGTTGATTAATAATAAAACAAGGTAATCCTGTAAACAGTCATCTTATTAAAAAAAAGGTGGGTGTGGGTGTATTTATGTGATAGTCATAAAACGTAGAAAAATCGCTTTTTTTTTGTTGCATTCTTTACTCATTAGATATTTCTCTTTTATCATATTTCTTCGCTTGAATAATTTTTCTATTTAAGAAGCTGCATATTCCCATAACAATATTAGTCCGTCAGAAATTACCTATACATCGTGTATCTACATTATAAGATAAATTATGTCTGCTTACTGCAAGATTTTTTTTCTTTGTGCAATTTTATTTGGTAAGATTAATTTTTATGAATAGTTTTAATTTCTATTTAAAATTATTCTAGTTGTTAGTCAACGTACCGATGGTCTTGTGTGTTACACCTGCCAAGGAAATAATGGAACTTCTAGTTGTAACGATCCATTTAATAAGACTGGTATAATGACGTCTGCAAGCAATGTGAGTGGTGTAGCTTGTGCGGTAAGTTAATGTTTATTATTTTAAGAATTTTTCTTCAATTTATTTTCATCTAGAAATTTACCTTTCTTGGCCTCGTAAGTCGAAATATAACTACAAGTTGTGCAACAACCAATGTACTTGGTATGGGTCAATGGTGTTGCTCGTATGATTTATGTAACAGTGGTAATAAATTAATATCAACAAGTTCAATTGCTTTGGCTTTACTTGTTGCTGGCCTTTCCAAATTCTTATAAACAATATGCATATATAGACTTATTCAATATTTTTTAAACTTCATTCTAACTTGTTTTTTTCTATCAGTCGAGCAGAAATGTTTTCGTTTTTATTTGTTTTTCTTTTTAATTTATTAAATAAACTAAAATATTTTTGATAAAAGAATATAGTATTTATACCTAAAGATTTGATATATAATTTTTCTCGGAAGTACTTAGCGATTTTATCCTTTGAATCTTATTTGTCAATCGGTACATGAAATGTTTTCCTAGATTTTATCTCTAACCTGAAAAATCATATTTCATGTCACTCACATCCGTACCCTTGATAACGTCATCTTTAGAATATTTTTTCTTTATACATAATTACTTTGTAAAATTAAGCGGTAAATTATTGTTAGGTACATATATTTATTTCCACATTCTAGTTCACAGTTAATTAATCCAAACAAAAACAATAAATAAATAATACTAAATAATATCAAAGTTCTATAATTCATAGCGCTACAATAAGGAAATGTAGATATTTAGTAGAGTTTATTTATTTCCTGTTGACTTGTCTGGTGAGATTACTTGATACAACTTAGAGTTATCGAATTTTTATTGTTATTAATTATGATTTAATAAGATTAATTGATCAAGTATTTATTCCCAGTTATGAAACTTTAAACAATTTTTAATTCGTATTTTCTTCAACTGCTTTTATACACCTAGATTTTAAAAATGAATTATCCGTTCACATTTCATCTTATAACTTAACAAAAACTAGCTTGTTCAGTAAAGAAGAAAATAGGTATTGAAAAGTAAAAGATCCTAATATGAAAATATTATTTGTTTTATAAAGTAAGGTATACGTATTGACGGAGTAAATGAATTACAAATATATCAAATAAACATGACAAATATTGGGATATTTTTAATTTTATTTAAAATTAATATCGAAAAACCTTGGTTGTTTTTAAAGTATAAAAAAAGCGTAATATTGCTTATTTTTAGTAAACATGTGACAAAGCGCGCACAGAAAGAAAAGAATGTATAGAAATAGGTATTTATTTTAAGTACAGTAATTATTGATGCATTGATATATAATTTTTTTCTTTTCTTCTCTAGCGATTTGCTTGAATAATCACATATTGTAGACAACTTCCATTTAAACAACGTGCAATACTTGTCGAACCTTCATTGCATAACAAATATGTCTTGTTATCAATCTATTCTTTTCACTGTATTGATTTTACTTCGTAAGTTTAAGAATAATTTAAAAAAAAACAATATTTTAAATTATAATTTTCATTGTCTAGTTTCATGTGGATATGTAATGAATCTTATATGTTACTCATGTAACGGTTGTAATGATCCATTCAAGTCAACAGGTATTGCACAAATAAATTCAACAATGAATGGATCGCAATTCTATTGCATGGTTAGTAAGTTTTTAAAATTTATATTATTATTCTAATCTTTCCATTTAATAGAAAACCAAAGGAGCAGGTATTGTTGATCGAAATATAACAGATAATTGTCAACCATTTACTGCAGTTGGTAATGGTGTACATTGCTGTCAAACTGATCTATGCAATGGTAGTAATCAAATTCTATCCATAAATTCTTTATCTATAGTTTTAATCATTGGCATAATCGGCAAACTTATTTAAAATTATACAATTATTATTGACAAAAACGTTTTTTTGTGTGTGTTTATTATTTCTATACGAGTTACTTACAAATATAGTATTATTGATTAGAAAAAAATCAGTTTCCATTAAATTTGCATTAATAAAAAATGAAGATATAATCAAATAAAGTTCATATAGAATTAAATACAAGTCGTATTTTTAAGTGATAAATAGTTTTCTTGTTCATAAAATCGTACTTTTATTTTAATTTAAATTTCATTTCATTAAATAAAAACAAGGTTATAGGTTCTATATACAATAAATATATTCTTTCTGTTTATTCTTCCATATTTGTATGAATAGATGTATCGGCTAATTGATGTGTAGTAATCATCATTTTCATTTCATTCATTAAATCATTTAATGATAATGAATTATCTCGAATATGTTCTACCGGTAATGAACAAAGTGTTGTTTGTAAAGCAGTTAAACATTCAACTAATATTAATTTATTGATATTGTCCTAAAAAATATATAGATAAAATGAATATTATAATTTTAGTTAATTTTTTTATACTTGTTGAATAATACGTGTAATAAATTTAAATGTAAGTCGACTAATATTTCGACAAATAATTTCCTCCTCATCATTATCATCTTCATCTTCATCATTAATTGACATTGTTGTTCGTTGTCGATTGATATGAAGAATAAAAATCGAACGAAGTAATTGAAGAATTACAAGAATTGATGATGTTTGAGAATCTAATACAAAACATTAGAGTAATAATAAAATGAACTATTATGTTATATTTACTATCAAATATTTTTGTTTCGATATAATATTCGATACCAGATATATTTGAAAGAATTGTAGAAATTTTGAGATTACTTTCAATTGAATGTATTAAACATGCTGTAGTTTCTTCACTTACATTTAACTAAAATAAACTTTCGATTAGAAATATTACGACGATAATTGAGAATGATAGTGAAATCAAAAATTTTATGTATACAAAGTATCTTTACGTATAAAGTCTTTCTAGAGTTTGAATAGGAAAAATGTCGGATGTGATTTCTAATCGTTTTAAAGATAAAAAGCTCTTTCTTTTATTTTTTATTGAGACTTTTCGGGATTTTCGAATTTTGCCAATGTCATTATGTGATTATATATGTATAAAAATAGCTCCTGGTAACTATATTAAGGGGTTTAAGCTATAAAATGCTTATTCTGATAATATTAGGTTAATTTGTCTTATGCATTTTTCACCAATCTTGTGTTATTACAGGTGGCGAAAATCTACTGGGCTTATGCCACCTCGTGCCTTAACTTTCACTAATTGACGAAGAGATCGAATTCTCGATGAACAAGTGAATATTTTAACCTGAAATATAGTCATGTAAACATGAATAATATAAGGCCATATCGTCATTGATTGAAATTGATCTTCATTCATTTGAATAAATCTTAAAAGAAAGTTTAATGATAATTTTTGTGTTCGGTTATTATCTTGAAATATTCCACTTGACCAATGATAAATCATTTTTGTTGACAATATTTCGGGATAAATTCTATATTTTAATTTAGAAAAAAATAAAATTTATTTATTTATTAATTAAATATTTACGTTAAGATATCATTGAGTAATTTATAAATCGAAATTGTATTCGATACAGATAAAAGTTCGAATTCATCGGATGAAATTTTCATTAATAAATGGTGAATATATGGACGAATCGGTTCTTTATCAAATTCATTATGTGTTAATAATGTTCGAATGAGACGAATAGAACTATGAAAATCCGATTTATCTTCTTGTGAAACAATTGAATAGATACATTCATCAAAAACTTCTTTAGATATCCAAGAATTCGGCCAAATTTCACATAATTCAATCAATGCTTGAAATGCTACATGACTGATTTGTGACTCTGAATCACTTAAATATAAAATAATCAAATGAAAATGACATTAGACAAAAACAAAAATAACATACGATAAACGAGGAATCATTGCTTTAGCAACAATTATTGATACAAATTCAAATATTTTTGTAGCATCCTAAGAAAAAAAGATTAAAATAAATAATTTTGTGACTATTCTTACTTTATGTCCAATAAAAGGTGAGATTTTTCCTGGTTTATTTCTTCTACCATGAGCAACTGTTGTAATTAATCCACGAAGAATAGCTTCAACTAAAATAATCAACAAATTATTTCAAAAAAACATAGATTTAATATTATTTTACGAGCAAGTAATATTGTAAAACGATATTCAACAATAGGTGATTGAATATCATCGATTAATAAATCAAGAATTTTTTTTAAATTCGTTTCATTATTCAATCGTAAAATATCATCAAAACGTAGACAAGCAAGTGTTGAAAAAAATGCTTCAAAACGTTTATAATTTTTTTCAATATCTTCATTTTTTGATGATATATTCATTAAAATTTTTCTACCGGACCAATTCTAAACAAAAAAATATAATCCAGATCTTTTTCGATTATATATGTATCTTACATCTTTAATAATTTTATCTTTTTCTTCTCGATTCATATCAATAAATTGTTCAAAATCATATGTTTTAGATATACAACCAACACGTAATAAAATAAATGAAAGTATATAAGAATTTGCTGCTTCATCATCCATATTATCATAAAGTGCAAGTGTATTCTCAACCAATTGACTAGTCGTTAACAACATCTAAAAAATCAAAAATTTCGAAAATAAATCATATTAAAAATTAACATACTGATTGATCCAGATGTTTTTTATAATAAATATTTAAATATTGTTCAACATAAGGATTTCGATTCGTAGATAATTCATTTATTGTATGTAATGATGGATCTATATTAGATGTAACAGTAAATTCACCGGATTCAGTTGACCATGATGTATTTGATTTATCGCTTGAGAAAGAATCATCTTCATATGTTGTTATTACTGGTCGAACCATATTTGTTAGAATAAGAAAACGAAATAAATTTTCTCCAATTTATATATATGTGCGATTCACGAAGAAAAGAATGAAATAATACATATACAGTCATATTCGTTTATGCGGTTATACTTTTATACAGAAATAGCGCTACTATCTTCATTGTTTTCATGATTATCATATGATTTTAAAAATATGAATGATAATGATGTTCAAATAGAAGACTAAAAATATTTTCAACATTTATTTTTTTCTATATATTGTTTAAAATAAGAAGAAAAACAAAAAATTGAGTTTAATTTAAAATAAATATCTTCGTCAGATTATATAGTTCTTCAAATGTTATTTATAATCGAAATCAGTAAGTGTATGCATATGTTTTATTAACTGTCTAAAAATTCAAGTATTGTATTTGTTTGTCTTTCAATATTAACTGTGTCTTGATTTATTGCAAAATGAGAGAACGTTTAAGAAGACGAAGAAAAAAACTCCGTTGCATTAATTTCTTTTTTT